ATATAGCCTGGCCTGTTCTCTAACTCACAACCCTCCTGTCTAAGCCTCCTGAGTGGTGCTTGGTTTACAGGTGTGTCCCACCTCACTATCTGTCCTCCCCTTCTGTTACACGTCTGTCACCAACAGGAAGACATTCAGCTTCATGTCATCTTTACTTAGAGAGCAAGGCTGACTGAGCCTCGCCAATCTGGAAAGTCCCCAATCGCTGCAACTGCTAAGGAGAGCTGTGGGGAGCCTCAAATCACTGCAGAATGCCATTTATCACTTCTGTTCACATTTCCAGGCAGCCAGACTGGATGGGAATGAAGAAATGTATTGTTTCTGCGGGTAGGAGAGCGGTGGGCGTCAGTAAATGGTAGTTCTGGCTGTCATAATCCGTCAGCACGTGTGGGACGCAGCTAAAAGAAGCAGACTGAAGTGTTGTCCAGCCTTAAATGTAAAGGCTAGAAGAGAAGGAAGACGAGTGGTCTCGAGTCTAATTCAGAAGGGGAAAGTCAGGAGTAGTGACACGCATGCAATCCCAAACTGAGGCAAGGTCTTGAGTTCGAGGACAGCCTGGGATATGCAGTGAGCTCTTCCCTCAGTTTTGGGATCACAAACACATGTCACCACGCCTGGCTTTACCTTCATGAGTTAGACTTGCGATCACTTAGTTTCCTTCTTTTCTCAAAGACAATCAGTCTACCAGCCAACTAAACAGAAAATACCAACACGTCCCAAAAGGGTAAAATAATAACAAAATAAAACAACTTCAAGAAAAGTAGGGGAAGTCAGGTGGTGGTGGTGCATGCCTGAAATCCCAGCACTCAAAAAGCAGAGGCAGGACAATCTCTGTGCAAGGCCAGCCTGGTCTACAAAGCAAGCTCCAGGCAGCTAGGGCTGTTAACACAGAGAAACCCTGTCTCAAAAAACCAAATAATAATAATAATAATAATAATAATAATAATAATAATAATAATAAAAGAAAAGTAGGGAAAAATGATAAGGGCAGAAGTAATTAGGAGGATAATAGACAAAACCAGATTCATTATTAAAACTAATAAAATAGATATTAAGATACATTGTTTAAAGCCAGTAAGATGTCTCAGCAAGCAAAGACACTTCTTGCCAAGTCAGTTCCATTCACGGGCCTACATGGTGGAAGGAGAGAACTGATTCCAGCAAGCTGTCCTCTGACCTCCACATGAGTTCCCTAGAATGTCTGTATGCACAGGCAAGTGTGCATACACACACACTAAATACAAAAGTAAATGTAATAAAATATTTTTACCATATATTACCATATATTTTTATAATATAATATAAATATATTATAATAATATAATATTTATTACCATATATTTTTATGTATGAATTTGGCAAAAATAAATAAAAGAGATTCTATGACCTAAAAACTAACAAGGGATGGAGAAATGGCCCATTTGTTGCTTTCCTGGAGGACCTGAGCTCAGTTCCCAACAACCATGGCAGGTGGTTCCCAACTGCCTGTAACTTCAGCTTCAGGGGATTCAACACCTTCTAGCCTCCATGGACAGGCATGTATACACCTGACACACACTCACATACAGACACACAGTTAGGTTTAAAAGAAGAAGAAACTAATAGAACAGATTATGGCAAGGTGCAGGAATTAAAAAGAGAGAGAAAGCAAAAATAGATAATGGAAAGAACTTACTTTCAAAAGGCTCATTGTCATTAAGGCTCACTTTGGTGACAGTGACAATTAAATTGGGAGTTTATTTCCTGTCAGGAAATGGGAAGAAGGGATGAAGAAGAAAAACAGATTTGCTTCTTAACCAGCGAGTGGGTGGGCTTCCTACTTGCAGTAAAGACTTGCAAGCAGCCAGTTTGCTGCTATGACTTTGACTTTTATGGGAAACCATGGACCTCAAGAAGTAGGAGGAACCGAGATGTGGTGAGCTGTGCCTTTCGTCCCAGAACTCCGGAGAGGAGGCAGAAGGACCTTGCTTGAGTTACATATTGAGATCCTTTCTCATGAAAAACAAACACAAAAAATCCCCCAAGAGTTGCTATTAACTGAAGCGCGAGAATCGTCTAGGCTTTGTGTATTTTAAGCATTTTAGACGGATGAACTCATTATTTTTCCTTACAACATAAGAGGTGGATCTTGCCTTTTTTTTCATTGTAGATAAGAACTCTGAGATAAAGTTTAAACAATTTCCCAATATGGCTGCAGAGTTGGAACCAGATTCCTACCATGGGAAACTGGAATCCAAGAGCCCCACATAGAGAGACAACTACAGCGGCCTGTCTAGAAAAGCACAGGGCCCTGGTTAAGGACAGGCTGGGCTGTCTGTGATAGTTGTCTTGGGACTGAAGCCCGGAGGTCTCTGCCCAGGTGTGATTTGTCTTGGTGTTTTGCCCGGAGTGCTTTTGCCTTGCAGAAATGTTTTTGTTTTGATGCATTTGGAGGTCATAGCCTTCTCCCTTATTGTTTCTGCTTAAGAAGAATTTTTCTATGCTCATGGTATCTATAAGCTTTCTTCCCAGGCTTTCTTTAGTATCCATATGATTTTAGTTTTCCCAAGTAAAGGTCTGAGCTATTTTGAATCTTATTCTATATGTGCTGTGAATTCCAGGGTTGACTCTTCCCGTGTGGCTATCCAGTTATCACAATACCACTTATTTGTTGTTTGTTTTTTAAATCTCTGCACACAGATTTATGAGGTCACCTTTCTCATACAATAACTCTCCAGATGCAGATGGACCTATTTCTGGATTTTCTATCGGTTCCCTTGGCCTATCTCTTTATTCCTGTGCCAATACCAAACTCCTACTTACAGGCTCTCCAGTATGTGTGACTTCTGGTGGTGCCCCCCCCCCCACAATGGCTCTTTGCTTTGGGGATCCCCTGACTAGGTTTGCTTTTTTATTTTATTTTATTTTTTGGTTTTTTGAGACAGGGTTTCCCTGTGTAACAGTCCTAGCTGTCCTGGAACTCACTCTTGTAGACTAGGCTAGCCTTGAACTCACAGGGATTCACCCGCCTCTGCCTCCCAAGTGCTGGGATTAAGGGGTGCACCGCCACTGTCCAGCCTTATTTTTTTCTTTCAAGTAAACTTCATAGTCAGCTTTGCCTAGCTCCAGGGGAGAAAACCTGATTGTGTTTTAAAAGCTGGAGCTGCATTCAATCTGTAAATTAAGTTAGGTGGAATCGACGTTTTTATGGTGAGGAGTCTCTTTAGTTAAGGTCATGGCATGTTGTTTCTTCCAAAATATAATTCTGAGTGAAAAAAAAATTAGTTTTAGGAGACTTCATATAGAATGACTGTCATGTAAATGAGCTTTTAAAATTGCAACAGCACAGTGATCTGCAGAGCTTATGGATTCCTAGGTTTATAGTAAACAGACTGAAGTCTAGGATGTGAGTGACAGGTCAGAGCAGGGGCGAGGGGAGACGTGGAAAAGGGCTGGTTTGGCCCAGTTTTAAATCAGCTGAAGCAAATATAGCGAAAGATTAATTTAAGTAGACAGTTTTATTATTTTCCTCTACAGTCCTCTATGGTAGAAATGTTTCTTAACTAAAAACAAAAGAAGCACCAGAAGCTAGCTGTTCCTACAGGTTCAGGGTGCTCCACCGGGTGGGAGGTGGGGGATATACCTGTTCTCATTTACTCAGTGGCATCCTAGAGAAGCCATTTCCTGGCCAGGCCTGCAGGCTGGGTTGGGGGAGTCACTGTGCAGCTTCTTCTGTGTGTGGGGAATTCTGTTATTAGGGCCACTGCGGAGCTCTTAGCAGCTGGAGAGGGAAGATCCCTTTAAACAGGCTTCCTGGGTTGCTTCCAGGCCGCTGTCTTGCATTTGTGCTAAGAAATGCTTCTCAGGATCAGAAACTTGTCT